CTGGAATGGATTGAATGAGTTAAAAAAAAGTACAAATGCAAACCAATTTAAAAAACTGATTAAAACAGAGCTTATTTCAAAATATGCTATATAAGATGACTGTTTAATAGTCTATAATGCAATTGATGATATAAATAGTATTTAAAATAATTGTACATAGTTAAACATCATGTAAAATGGAAACAAGTTGTCTCTTTTTGATGTTCTGAAAGTTCATTGATTATAAAGTGACAAGTAGGAAAGGGGCAGGATATTATAAGATATTATATCTTCTACCTGCTCCTTTTCGAACAGAAAATATAAAATTTGCATGTCACATGGGCAAAATAATTTGTTTTACATTTTATTTCTTAAGTTTGTTTCATTCTATTTTATTTTGTTTTTCTTTTTTTCTTGATTGTTTTTTCTGTCTGTTCGAAATAAATAAATAAATAAAAATTAAAATTAAAATAAAACATATATGGTAAAATCCATGTAAATACAGATATGGATAAAAACAGCAAAAATACAGTACATATGAACTGTACCATATTCATATGGTAAAATTTTGTCAGTATTTTACTGTAAATCAAGAACATTCTTATTTTTTTATTTTATTTATTTATTTATTTTTACATTGTACCTCACTGGGTAATTTTGTGCTAAATAAATAGTTTTGTTATTTGCACTGAAAATGCTTCAAGTCATCAAACATATTTTAATACTGGACTAAACAGCAACTTTCTCACAATGATTGAGGTATGCAAAATTGACCATTTTGAGCTTCATATTATCTTAAATTGTTATTCCCTCATCAAACACATACATGGAATGTTGCTTTGATTCATGCATCACTGAGGAATCATTGAATCTTCCATGGCAACCATTCAGGGATGTCTAATCTGCTCATGCAAAGCTCCATATTTCCACAAAGCTAATACTTGGGTTTGCAGTCCCCAGTTGAGCTTCTGCCTGAGCTCCTAAAGACTAGCAGCAGCACCGATGATTACCAAACACCTGGTGGAATTCCACGTCTGCTGAGTTCAGCATAGGAACTACATTTCAGTCCAGGGCTCCTAAGAACATCTGTAAACGGGACAACGGAGGAGCACTGCTGTGATGGTGTGCTGAAGGTGGAGTGTTGGACAGACCACAAGCTTCTTAAAGAAACAGAGGCCAATTTCAAGGCATCAAATTGCAAAGTCAGATTTCTCTTTAGTTATGTTTGATATATACAGCACTTTTATAACAACTGAAAGTAACATAGTTACTTGATCGTTCCATAAAATGGCTCCATGTGCCTGTAAAATAAATGATGCCAACCCTTTAAAGCTTTTCCTCAGCAATTATTTATGGTTATTCATAGCCAAACTATTGTTGCACAACAGCGATTATAGATCAATTGTTAACACATCATACTACACACACCGCCCTCACACGCACACACCCACACACACACACACGCGCGCTCTACATGCTACCAGAGATGATTTATTTTTGTGTCGGTGTGACTCATTTGGATCACCCAACCCCCTGGCAGCCACACGTCCAAAACTGGCACAGATGAGACGCCCATATAGAGCTATTCTACCTGCTTTTAGTGACCTTGTCACTTTGTTTAGGTCTCACTGTAGAGAGTAGGGAATGATGCGTCTGTGAAATTTGTTTGAGATTGTGTAGCATCGAAAGAAAGCCCCATTAGAGTAGAAGTCCCACCACCTGTCAAATCCTTTGCAATTAGAGTTAAAATGAGATTTGTCAATTGCTGCAGCTCTTTGGATGCAGGGGAGAAGTTCTGTGTTAAGCACCCCTTAAAGTAATCAGATTCTGAATAAAATAAGAGTTCTGCCATTTACTTTTTTCTTTAACAGATTAGAGGAAGTGTGTGTATTTGTATGTTAAGTGACTATGCAGAGTAATGTACCTGATATTGTTGATTATTTCATGTTGCATTTAGCATATATTTAAGTCCTGGTCTGATCTTTTTTTTAAAATCCTTTTTATGTGTGTATGACAATATCCACTCTATCTATGCACAGTCTCTCTCTGATATCAATACTGGAGTGAACGAGTTGATTTGAGAGCAGAACCAAGCTGGCCGCGCTGCGCACCGATCCCCACAGAGCTAATGAATATTGTAAGGAGCCAACAGCAGAGCTGAAATAGGAACCTCTGGACCCCCAGACACACACCAGCTGACCCCCTGCAGTTTCACCGATGTAACAGTAACCCCTGGATAAACACATACACACCGCCCTGTTCAGCTCAAGTAATGAATACACCTGAAAATCCACCTGTAATTAGAAGGTGATAATGAATCCATCCATCAAGATAAGCTGCTTTTTTGGCATCCATGCCTCAGTGGCCGTGGCAGCCGAGGCCAACACTCAGCAGTCTGTGACAGTACATGGCGTAGATGAGCAGTTAATAAGGCCAGGTAAAGCCCAGCAGCTCTGAGGAATGCACACGTGTCCAGGCTCCTGTTTTCGTTGCGCTTTAACCTGACCGGGAAGCTAACGGCTTAAACCAAACAGCAGCAGGAGGATCAGGAAACTTTTGATTACAATTTCTTTTTGCACAAGAAAGCCGGATTTCATGGCATATTTATGAGCAAGTCTGAATTTGGTGCTCTCAGTTCATTGCTGGGTCAAACCCTGTTCAGACTGCTATATTTAGTTACACTTGCACTTATGCTATTGGTAATTTAATTGAAGCCGCGTGGCAGAAGCAGGCGTATTTTCCACTCAGGTTGAGTATCATGCCAAAATGTGTATTGGAATCAAGCCTTTGTGTTGTAACAGGATACACAATGAAACAGGAGATTAGGATTAATTTTGGCATACATCCTCAGCACAAATTCTTCTTTTTCTAACAAGAATGGAACATTTATGGTTTTTAATATATTTCGTTTTCAAAAAAAAAAAAAAAAAAAAATTGAAATCCTTTTAGAATAAAACCCATTTAGATTTAGGACATGCAGTACTTTTCAGAAGTATTCACACCCCTTCAGCTTTTTCACATTTCAGACCTGTTGCAACAACAAACCTGAGTTCATTTTATTGGAATTTATGTATTAACATACAATAGATTTGATTGTTTAAATTAAATATACATACTTCACACTTGAACAGGTGTTATCTTCTGTTCTGCTGTACTTGAAAACAATCCAAAATTGTAATTTTTTTCTGAATAGTTGCTACATGCCTTCTGCTTATTGGTTTTGTACTATTAAAGTGAAAGAGGCACATGTCTTAAATTAAATGTTTACAGTAATGCAGAGGATATTATGTGATTTCTTAGTTTTGATATTGAGCCTGTTCAGTCTCTTAAAGGAATATTAATTAAAGGAAACATGTGGTTGAGAACCATCATGACAGACTAGTGGTTTCATCTATATGAGCTGAATGATCAGTACAAATACACTGTAAAAAAAACGGCCTCAATTTACAGTAAAAAACTGGCAGCTGAAAACTGCCAGTATTTTACCGTATTTTAAAAATACGGTAAAATTCTGGCAACCAAAACTGACAGTTTTTTACCGTATTTCCCAAATACGGTAAAATACTGTATTTCCTAAAATATGTAAAAAAAAAATTAAAATGTGGTTTTGCCGTAATAAATACGGTCATACTGCCTGAGGCATAATATCTACATAAGTGAAAAACACGGCCAGACTGTATGATATATTGACATTTTATTGTAAAAAAAAAACAAAAAAAAACCTTATGGTAAATTACTGGTCACTGTTCTTACCAGAATTTTACCATAAAAATTATAGTACAACACACAAGGAAGTGTAAGTTGTCAGCATTTCTATACAGAAAGTTATAAAGAAAATAAATTCAAATTAAACAAAAATACAGATTACGAGTAATCCACTTAAAGAAACAATTTCTATTTAAAAATTCAGTTAAAAAAAGAACCGACTCTATTTTCTGTCCAGTTTCCTCCCGGTATTACTGAGATCTGGAAAACAAAACAAACAAAAAAAACAGCATGTGTCCACATAAGAGATAACCTATTGTAGAAGAAAAACCGGTGATAAAACGATTCTTGTTCTGGGTTGAGAGTAACAAGTCACTGAGTTCAGAGTTTGCTCAGGATGGTTGTAGTCTTCCCAGTCACAGGTTGAAATTGAGACTCACATGTTGTCAACCGAGTGTTTCCTCTCTGCTGGAAAACAAACAAAGCAAAAGTTAGAAAGATGCACTACATGAACCTCTTATTCGCTTAAATGTTTGTTTCACCTTTGTTGACTTGCATATGGAGACTGGTACTTCAACCAGGCGGTGTGATCATTTCTGACTGAAAAGTCATTAGTTTTAAACCTTTGTTTTTTGACTACAGGTGTGATCCTCTCTGCAACCAGACAAAATACACAAATAAAAGCAAATATAACTGTTTTAGGCAATTTATGAAATAGATACTCAGCATTTATCCGAGTCTCATGAAGCCCAATAAGTTGTCTTCAATCATTTATGTAAGTTACAATTCCTGCAAGCTAGCAGAAACAAAGCTGTAAATGTGTACACGTTTCATACAGGCAAACAAATAGATACACCTGAGACAATTTATGCTATGTTAGATTTTCTCAGTCACTTTTGGTGCATTTCTCAAGTCATTGTTGGCATTTACAAAACAGTAAACGCATTTCTCAAAACAATTTGTAGAAACAGCAAAAATAGCATTTGTTTGCTTGAAAAATCCTTAGTTCAGCTCTTAAAACTCTGTCAGTTAACATATCAGTAACTCAAAATAATAAGTTATAGTTTCTCTATGTACAGATAAGACGGTCAAATTGATTAGTCATGGGAAGAGGCTACAAAATTCACATTTACGCTTTTGCTGTAATTTTTTGATGGACCATGCCATGGTGATTCAGAAAGAAAAAGACAGAAATGCAGAGAACAAAAAAAGTAGAAAAGGAGCCATAGGATAATCTCCTCATGGAAAATTGTACAGTGCTGTAGAAATTACATAATTACATTACATTTTAATTGCCATTATCATGCTGACAAAGGTTCCTGAGTGGGGTTAAGGAATGAACAGTAGGGTGGGAAGACCTCCATCAGCATCGTGTTGTGGGTCGCAGCCATATCCTGATGTTGGACTGATGGAAACTGGCAGATGTCCTCAGCCTCTTCTGACTCTTCTTCTGCTTTCCTCCCAACTATTTCCTCCTCAGCCTCACTCCTCTTCTTCTCTCTGGCTGTTCACTCTGTCCAGATACTTGTTCATCAGTTCTCAGAAATGTAACATTGTGTTGTGTTCTGGCTATATAGACCATATTGTTGCCAACTGATGGTTCACAGATGCACCTTCAATCTGTTTTCAGAAAACTGGTTGATCGTTGGTTGAGCTAATGGTTCATACATTGACCTGTTAGAGAAACTCAGGACTCACTTGGGAGCAATTTACCAATTCAGGACAGATTTAGAAAAGAATCAATTATAAATTAATTAAAATATGATTGACATTATGACAACTTTAAGACTTATGCATGTTAAGACTTACACAATGAACTTATGCTGTTTTGGAAGTTGAGAATTCAACACAGACACGTTTAACATATTTTGATCAACACGATAAAAGCAAATTACAACGGGGGAAAAGCAGACAAGTGTACATAATCAGTTACATGATCTACAAAAGCAAAAGGAATGAGCAACTCATTTTTTGATGTGCAGAATTGACAGTAATTTTAAGATTGAACAGGTAGTTTTAAGAATTTCAATTCTCTTCTCAGAAATGCACCCAAACTGAGAAAAACTGTAAAATATTAATATTTAAATGCTCTTATCTTAAAACCCTTCAACTGTCATGGACCCAGTGACTTTAATGCAAGTATTTTGGGGGTGAGAGTCAAGAGGTCAAAGGAAAATATTAAATATTAGCTCTGATGCCAAG